AGTTTGTTTTACTGTATACTCTAACATGGGAGACTGCCTATCATTAGGCACCCGTATTACATCGACGGGGACAATAGTACCGACAGTCGTAACAGCTCACATCGACAGGTTGAATGATTCACATGCACACAATGATCATACCAATTTCCAACAAAAACTTAAACAACTTACGACATAGAAATTTCATAAATTAACCCACCTGGTATCCGAAAAGGCAAAACATGACAAGAAGTGGAACGTAAGTCGAGGCTCTACTCCTCAAACACCTACATTTAAGCGAGATAATATATCAATAATCTATCTCACTATTCGAATTTAATATACAACCCATACTTAATAATAATTAAGGCTTAAGGGTTTTAATCGGATTTTTCGTGGACTTGGAACTCTCACATTTTTTAAAAATAGGACTCGGAGAACAAAAATGGGGTCTCGGGACATCAAAATATTTTTCTCGAATTTTTTCATTTTGAAAATATTTTTAAAATTGAAAGCGGTATTAAAAACGGGCTTCCGAAACTCAAAAAGGCTTAAAAAGCCGAACAGGACCGCGCGGGTTGAATTGTTGGACTGAGGAAAATGGGCTCGCGTTTTAAAAAAAATATCCGCAGATGGGCCTAATTATAGCTACATGCATATATTTATACATCCTCCCTATATATAATTCCCGAATGCGCTGAGCCTACGTGGCTGCTTCTGGTGCTTCGAAATCTTATTTGGCGAAGAATCATGCTTCGTAATTAGGTTTGGACAAATAATATTGATATATTAATAATTAATAATCTAGGTTCGGGTATTCCAAAAATGTTATTTAACTAACTTAGGTATTTTTTATTAATATAACCCTTTAATTCTTTGTAATTTTACATAGTGGGACACTAAGTGACTAATATATCCTTGAATTTTGATTTGTTTCCTTCAATAAGCTATTGAATTATAAATGTATTTTAAAAGTTAATAACTTTTGTAATTCTTATCGGTTTTACATATATAATATATCAAATTAAATATCTTTTGATGACCTTCGATTTGACATCCATATTGTATATATGAAATAAATAAATTATATTTATCTTTATAATAATAAAAAATAATAATATTTATTAAAATTCATTAGAAAAGTAAAATTATTTCTTTTTTTTTTCACAAAACGAAAGAGAATATATATAAACTCAAAACGAACAATGTTCGAATAGTACAGGCCAAACCCGAAGAAACTAAAAATGAGAGGACACGCCCAAGGCGGCCTAGAACCTCAACAAACAAAAACTACAACAGAAGAAATAAACCACACTCCACTGCCCAAAGGCCTAGAGATGATAAAACCAAACTTCTACAAGAGCCAAAATCTGAACAAACTAAAACATAAACAAAACAGATCATAAATTAAGAGAGATAGCTTGAGAAAATTCCATCCAATCCTGCATAGCTGCTTTAAGAACCAACTGGACTGGCATGAGAGAGTTTTGGAATATGCTAAGGTTGCGGGTTTTCCAGAGCCACCAGAGGATGTATGTTGACAATTGAATACGGGCCTCTGATGTTTCTGAATTGTCCACAGAACAGACATGGAGCCACCAGCTTTTGAAGGATAAATCTTGAGAGGGATTGATGTCCCAAGTGACAGGGGATATGTGCCATAACTCAACTGCCCTTTTATAATGGAATGAGATATGAGGGACAGATTCAGGTGCTTCACCACAGATGGAGCAAATCACATCAAGCTGCAGGCCTTTTTTGATCAAATTTGTTTTGGCAGCAAGGCAGTTATTAAGGCATTTCCAGACAAATAATTTAACCTTCCCCATCACTTTCAATTTCCACAGTCTGTTGTTAGTTTTGGTCAATGTTCTAGCACTCAAATTGCTACAGCTTGGCAAGTCCAGGGACATAAGTTTTTGATGAATTAAGAATGAGTAAGTGCTAGAAACTGTGAATGTACCTTTGGAGTGAAATTTCCAGAGCTGCTTGTCTGCAGAGTTAGGCTTAAGAGTTTTGATGTT